CCATGATTTCTAGTTCTCCGGGCACATTGAGAGCTGAATTGAATATGGATCCCTAAAATGTGCCTGTGAAAACCAGAACTTTGACCTCCTGATCCCCAACTTATTCCAGAGCCAACATCCTTTATAGATACTGCCATAGAACAATTTAATCAGGACATTCAGGACTTCCCAAAACAGGTGTTCCATGTTGAGCCAGATTCTACTATCTCAGACTCCCCATCCCATCAAGAGATCTCACCTCACACTGATTCTTCTAGCATAGGTTCCCAAAGTGGGTGATACCACCCCTGGGGGGTGCTGGAATGATCCAGGGAGTGGTAGTAACCTTGGGTGTAGTTAGGGGGTGCTGAATAAAAATAAGGGGGCAGTGGAAGCATAAGGAAAGAGAAGAGAAAAAAAATTTTAAAAAACACTCATATGTGTTTCATCTGTTGTGTAACAGAGTTAAAGTCATACTGATCATGTTATTTTCCAAATAGACACACAAAATACAAGTTATAACCAACCAGTGATTAAGTCTGCTGACAGGTCTTAACATGCAAGTGTTGGCAGGCGAATGTGTCACACGTTGTTGGGAAGTTCAGCATGCATCAGCAGGAATATGTGTGTGTAATGTCTTGTTTACAATACGATACTATACGGTTACATGACACAATATTGCATCATCAAAATTTCAATGCATGAAAAAACTCACAAATTTATAATAACTTATTAAATTTTAGATGCATCATTTAAAAAAAATTATATTTTTTGGAAATGATCCAAATTTTAAAAAACCATTAAAGGGTTAAACAAAGTAGATTTCCAGGGTGCTGAGTAATTTTTTTTTTTAAAGAGGGCAGTAGGCCAAATAAGTTTGGGAACCTCTGAGGAAGGAATCCACTAAATCCAAAGAAAAGGAGCCAGCCATTTTGTGGCCTCTTAGGTTAGCATGGGTCCAGAAAGCCTCAGCAGGAGGGCAGGGGGCTTGGTGGGGCACAGCTCTGGTGAGTGGCTACAGGCTAGTCCCCACTGGGGCAACTCATTTGTCAGGTGAACACTACCAGGTTGTGTTGCTTGGAGCTGTCTCTGCAGAAGACTTTGAGTATATATTGAATGGGCCAGGAAACCCTCAAAGGGTAGGCTAGAGTCCAGACCCCCACCTCTGTGCTGATTTCTGTGTTGATGTCAACTTCATGCCCCGTGATTGACATACCTGACAATGGGAGCATTGGGAGTATTTGCTGAGGAGCATTATACTTATAGTATCCTTAAGTGCCTAGGCTGACACTCTATCTCTCCTGCCATGGATGGTCACCAACTTGCCCCGTACTCTTTTTTTTTTTTAATTTAAAAAATTAAAAAAAAAATTTTCCCCCCATACTCTTAATATGTTGATACCGATAGTGATGGAGAGCTGGGAATTCATGCTGCCTTTCATTGTCCAGACAATCATAACTTGAGAATGCTCCACATAGGATATGCTTTTAGCTTTAACTGGTCCACTGAATGCTGTAGATGGAGTAGCCTGAAACCAATATTGAGCTCACTAGGAATCCCTTGTACAGCCAACATTTTGACCATTGGCTGAAGTGCACAACAGCTAATTCTGGCGGGGTGGGGGAAGGTGTCACATCCATGGATACTGCTGTTTCAGTCAAAAGCCACTGATAGTGGGCAATGTAAGAAGCATTAGCGGTGGTGGGAGAGGGGGAAGTATCCATTAACATTCAGGATTCCCATGAGGATCAATCTGACAACCCTGATTTAAAAGGACTAGTGACTGCAGTCAATTTCTCATTAAAACTAAGGTTTCTGCTAGCAACCCAGACGTGCCTTATCTTGGGAATCAACCAGATTCTATTGCTCCTTCAGTCTTGCTCCATGTGACTCATCCAACACTTCTTGGTGCTGGTTCTGTCATGGTTGGTTCATTCTGAGTCGTAATGAATTTCATACTTTGTTAGATGATGAGGGAAATCACATTAATTCTTTGGCTAGAGGGGGAAGGTAGAGGAATATGGTTCTGGTTTACAAACTACGTATCTTCTACAAGGTATGCAACCTCGTGGTGTGTCTATCAATAGAGATAAATGTCTAAATAATCCCATATGGAATAAACCTCCTCAAGCTAATACTGTTCTGCATGATGGGTCTAGTAACAAATCTAGTAACATGGGTCTAGTAACAAAGAATCCCTACCACAAGTATTTATAAATGTGGTTCCTGTATCAGGACCCCCAGATTTTCAAGGAGGTGTAGCGAGTGTAAAGTTTTTTATGACTAGTTATGGGTATTTTGATGTGACTTATATTTTAGAGTGGGAAATTGTGCCCTGCCATCCTAGCCATAAATTTAATCCTCTTACTTTCTATGACCCTATGAAGAATTTTTTTATGCTGTGGAAGAAAGATTCAGGTGGTCATCTAGGGGAAATGTAGATAGAAAAATCCAAGATCTCACTGGGGATATGTGCCTACAAACTAATTTTTTGCTGTGATATTTGAATTCCATTAAAAAAATTATGGCATTGTTTGAAATTTACTCAATATTTTCTGTATCCTTCTTCTCTAGGGCAAGGAAGGGTCCAGGGCAGGGTGCGTACTGATTTTTGCCACGATGGCTTTTCAAATTTGTATTTTGGTGGGCTCTAGAAGTAAAATCAGCCTGACCTGCTAGAGATAGGGTTAGCACTGTATCCTTAGACACCTGGTTTACTTGTCAACCAGACAATAATAGCTAGTGTTTATATAGTACCCTAAAGTATATAAAGTGCTTTACCAGTATCATCTCATTTTATTCTCATGAAACCCTAGGGAATAGAGAAGTTTGAAAGAGATGCCATACATCTAATAAGTGTCTGTGGAAATATTCAAATTCACATCTAACTCTAAATTTAGCATTTTATCTACTATGCTACATTGCCTCTTTTTTTAAAATGGTAGCTTCCTTGAACCTAGCATTCCATTCATAAAAATGTGATATCATTCATTGTGAAGCAGTGTGGTATGCTAGATGGAGCATCTCTCTCAAAGCCAACAAGACCTGGGTTCAAGTCCTGCCTCAGACATTTTCTGGCTTAGTAACCCTGGACAAGTCACTTAACTGCAACTAAATCTAGTGCAGTGAGACATTATCTCACTCCAATACTTAGCAGTTGTGTAAAAGGTACCTTACTGAATTGGTAGAGGAAATTTCCTCACCCAAGAGGTTCCTATACCAATGAAATCTCAGGTTTAGTCCCTAGTCCCTCATTTATTGTATTACCTTGATTAGAGGGAAAATGCCAACTTGATCCTTGTGCTACTTTTTATACAGTCCCTGACACAGATAGAGAAATAGTAAGCATTGAATAAATCCTTGTTGAGTGAATGACATAGGAGAAATCATTTCACCTGTCTCAGTCCCAGTTAACTCATCTATAAATTTGGTATAAAAGCACCTACTCACCAAGGTGGTAAGGATCAAATGAGATAATGTGTGTAAAGCTGTTTGTAAATCTTAAAGTACTATATAATTGTCATTATTATTGAAATTATGATTAGTAATAGCAATGACTGTTTTATGATTTAGCATCTAAAAGAAAATGTACATCCATAAAATTTAGAACAGACATACTTTGACTAGCCCTAACAAATAGGACCAACTTTCAATCATTGATTGAAATACTGTAATAGCGTTTCCAAAATCAGCATACTTAGGGATGTAATGAACCTAGAGACTGGGCTGTCTTAAAAGGTAATCAACACACATGAGAGTTGAGGGTATAGTCTTATCTGTGAATGCCTTCCTATGATAAGGGATCTATGCCAACTACCTTTAATGAGAGGTTGGCCATTATAAAGAAAGATGTTGAGCTTGAAATGAATGGCCTTGAACCAGAATAGAAAGATCACTTACAAGAAAATTGACATAACTCCGTAAGACTGATGCAGTTTAAATAGGTACAGTAAATTACAAAAGCAGTGTTTATAGCCAGCTGATTAATTTAAAAAAATGAAAAACAAATTGTTTGCTTATTTTTGATCTTGGCTTATTCTTTAATAACTGAGAGCAAAATGGGAGTTATGTTAAGAATGATGGTTAAGCTTTATTTTAAAAAAATTACATGTATTTTCAGTTAACACGGATTTATTTTCTTTTCTACTTCTTCCTAGTCCCTCCCCCCCAAAATAAAAATCTGTGTATCAAAATATACACAGTCAAACAAAACAATGTCCCATATTGGCAATGACCAGAAATGTGTTTTATTCTGCATATTTAGCTCATCACCTCTCTGTCAGGAGGCAGGAATTATTCTTTATCATAAGTCTTCTGTAAATTGATCATAGTTTTTAAATCTTCAAAATTGGTCATTTTTACAGCATTGGTATTACAGTATAAATTGACTGCTCACTTTAGTCTGCATCATTTCATCGAAGTCTTCTTGGGTTTCTCTGAAAACTGTCCCTTTCATCACTTGTTAAGGTACAAGATGCTTAAACTTTAAACAAAGTTGTCAAATAAGCAAATATTGTGAAATATTCCATCTATTGAGTAGATTGTTGCCACCTTGTATACAGGGATTGCAGCTGCCTCACTTTTTTGACTTGTCTTTCAGTTTCTGTATGTCACGGATCACTGAACTTTTAAGTCGGAAGACTTGTGTAAATCATTTACTTGTGTAAATGATTCTCAGAGGCTCAGTTTACTCATCTGTAGAGTGGGGACAACAGCATCTGCCCTGTTTACTTACTCTGTGGCATTGTTTTGATGATCAAATGAGAGGATGTATGTGAATGGACTTTGAACACTGTAAAGTGCTGTTAAATTATATTCACTTCAAACCAATTTAATTGAAAGAAAAATGTTATTGGAAGCTTTCTTTCATCTGTCTTTAAAAAAGTAAATACTTCTTACATTCAACTTTATTGTACTAAAGCAATAAGGCTCCTAGTAAACAAAGTTTCTTTTGATTTTAGAAATGTCTGCTGGTTTGGTAACTAACTAAATTTCTATCTCTCTTTAATGCTGGCCCTTAGTATTCGCTCCATTCAACATTCAATTAGCATGCCTGCTATGAGGTAAAGTATATTATTGTGAAAACAAGTGATTGCAATGAGTAAATGACTCTTGAATACGCAATTCATTCTAAACGAATAGGATTCTTGGACTTGTTCTGTTTTTAAGCAGAGCAGAAGTGGTTTACTTTAAAAAGTAGATGATGACAGAAGAGATTCATACTATTGAGAATCAAAGAAATCAGCACAACTTGAATGGCCAGTATGAGGTTTCAAAAGAAAGAAATATTGACATTCTTAGTTATTGATTCATGTGAGATTGGGAAGTGTGGCAGGAGTTTGTTTCACCTCCTAAATTTTTTCTCATAACAGTTTTTCTTTTTCATGTATATCCTAGAACTTTTATCTTCACAACCCTTTTTGAAATCTGGAGAGAGGCTTCTTCATTGTTTCCTTAGTTACCTTGTAGACTGAAGCTGTGTGTTGCTTTTCTTTCCTCTCTCTGGAGCTGTGAAGTGTGCCAAATGGTTGTTTCTCACACCCAGGAGTCATGTAAAAATGCAGTGAATACCATTCCAAAGTAAAGCTGAGGTTTACAAAAGCAGTGTTTGTAGCCAGCTGATAAGCCTTGATTTATTTTCATGAATATGAAAGCCAAATTATATTCTCCTATTTTGATTTGAACCTCTGACATTCCATTATAACTGAGGGCAGAATAGGAGCGTTATCAAATTTTCAGATCTCTGAGGAAAACCTATTCAGAAATACAAATGTGTTTTCAAGCAATTAAAATAAGGTAATAATAAGCACATTCTGTCCCTTCAGTTCCTAGCGCAGGGTCTGCCAGTCACTTTGGCCTCCTCTGCCTTGAATACTCTGCTAACCTTTCACACATTAACTCACCCTTTGCTTTGGCTAACAAGCCAACCTAAACCCTGCTGTTTTGCTTTCCTCTAATCCTAAGTGAGACACTTGGAGCCATATACAATGTCATAATCCTTCTCTCAGCACCAGCTCAGTTACCCCATGTATGATTACTCTAATTTGTAATATGAAGAGAATTAGAAGGTCTTGGCAATGAGGAGATGAGTGTGTTTACTCCAAGTGTTCCATCTATTACAGTGAAAAATGGGAGGAGCGTTTCTTCCTCCCCCGCCCTCCTTTCTTTAAGCTCTCAGAAGCAGGCAGGATACGCAGAAGTATATGTGCATAATATAAAAATATTACTGAATTCAGTAATAGGAAAATGGTCCTGAAATAATGTGAGTAGCACCTGATGTGCTAGCAGATATTTCATGCAGATAGACGGAAGTGTCTGTTGAAAGGCATATCTGATTTTTTAGGCACACTTTGAGAACGCAGACTGATGGACGGATAAATAAGCAGGGCTTATCTCCTCAGGGACAGGCTAGCCAGAATTAGTCATCAGCCTCTCCTCCCTTCTTTTGATGTCTTCTCTCTACCTTTATGATGGCCCATGCCTCTTAAGGACTTCCTCATTATGGTACCTCACTAGGACCTGTCTGCTGTGGCACAGAATCATGGGTTAATGCTCCTAGGTTTTAATGGGCTTTATAGTTCAGTAAAAAGGATGTCAACCCAAAGAAGTGATTCTAATAATCAGCAGGATTGAATGATGAAGGAGATCAAAGAAACTGTATTTCAGAGCAGGTATCTCTCTAATCACACTACAAAAATGTTTTTCTTTGCTTCCATTATGCATGAATGGCTCCAGTCACAGTCAATACTGAAAGTAAAAACGGAAAAGAATGGACTTGCTTTTAATGATACACACATGTGTTGTGTATATGTGCACATACGTGTATAGTGAGGAGACTTGAGGGAATGGGGACAAACAGGGGCCAGGATGCTTTTTGCTTTCATGTTAGATAAATTCCTTTATGATTTAGGACTTCTTTGAAATTATTTCAAACTAACTTACAATATTATAATGTGTAATTAGATATACCAAATATATTTGGTTATTCTGCTGCTCAGGAATAGCTATCAAGTTTTGCCTTGTAGTTAAAACTCTAATTCTTATTTGGACTAGGGAAAATAAGGTATACAAGTTACAAATGCTATTTCAAAAAAATTGTTATTTTTTAATTTTGTGTAAATTTATTTTTCATGTCAGAGATTTAATCAGAACCTTTCTTTCCCTCTCATAGAAACTCACCTACTTTCAAATCATTCGAAGAAAAAGTTGAAAACTTAAAGGTAAAAATTATGATTATCTAGGGCTTAGTGGTATTTTGGGGGCCTTGATTTTTCCCCCTTGTGTAAATCATTCTCTTCAGTGTTTCTGGAGCATACGTTGTTGCATGGCAATTTATCAGATGCTGATTAAAGAATGCTTTAAAAATATGTGTTGGTCTTTGTCTTAGACTTACTGATTTATTTATTGGTCTTATTTATTTATTGCTCTTAAAGATTATGTTCAAAGTGATGTTTATAATATGAAGCATTAGGCATGTATGATAGTGCTTTTTAAAGTTTTCTGTGGAAATACAGTGTTCTCTCTGATGCCACTTGGGATCTGTTGAAGACTATTTGGGGATGTACATGTTTATAACTTCTGCTTTCTAGGCCCCATACTAGTATTTTTTTTTTTTTAGATTACAGCCTCCTGACATCTGAAAAAGCTTACTATAAAAAAAAATTCTGATTTGAGAAGGCAGAACTCAGTTGTTCAAACATTAAGGGATGCCAACAGTTATGATTCAGCTGGACAACTAGAGGTCTCAGCATAAAATCTGTTCGAAATGCTGTTCTTCATAGTCTCTGGAAAAATCCTTGCAGTGTTTGATTTTGTCAGTGAAGACCTAGAATTAACTTTCTGGTCACTTATTCTGTACTACCACCACCCCCTTTTTTGGGGGGCACTCGTAACTTCCACATAGTCTTCCTACATTATAAAGTCTGCTCTCAAAAAGCACTTTCTTATCTCATCAACCACCAAATTACTGTGTTAAGGAATTTTTTCAAATTCTGGTGAAGAGATACCTAAAAATGAATCTTTAAAACTTAGCTGCGTGCTTTGGAATGAGGTTGGGTCCCAGTTTTCCAATAAACTAATACTTCCATCTAAATTAATAACTCCATGAGTAGATAATATTTTTCTGCTAGCACAAATTTATTTTAGATTATTGGCCACTCTTCTTATAATTGATTTTTTAATTATTATTTTTATTTGTAACCAGACCTGTGGTTTCATTAGTATATGATACTCCCAGTGAAGTACCCCCTATCTTTACCCCCTATCTTCTCTACAATTTTTATATAGTCTTAGAGCAACTTAAATAATATTATTTATGGAGGATTAAAAAGTTTATTGTTATGGCTATAATTCTTTTATGTCTGTTTGGTTAGTTACAATGTATCGGATTAAGATCAAGTCTTTGAAACTCATAGTTTCTTTGTATTTCAATGGTCACAGACCATATCCCCAACTTTGCCACTGTTTTAAAAATGTTGGTCAAGAGGGGACAAAGTATATGTGAATGTTTGTATTTATTTTTTTTCCTTTCCTTTTTTCCCCCTTTGTTAAGTCTAAAGTTGGGGGAAATAAGGCTGCTGGAGGTGACTTTGGAGAAGTCTTGAATTCCACTGCTAATGCCAGTGCCACAGAATCCCTGACAGAACAGACACAGGAGACCCAGTGAGATTGTTGCCTTTGGTTCTGCTACCCACTGCCAGATGCTGCAAGCAAGACCTAAGCACATTGATAGAATGGCCTTGGCTATGAGTTTCCACCAAATGTGTTTTTGTTTAGCTTTGTGTATTCATTCAAAAAACAGTTTGTGGGGTTAACTTTTTTCAAATTAAAATGTAGTGAATGGATTTAACCTGTTTTTGTTTTTTTCCCCTCCTCTCCAATCTTCCAGGGAAGCACTATTTAAAGATCAAACAAACTGCATTTTAGGATGTTTAATTGAGATCAGCTTATGAAAAATGGGTATTTTCTGGAAAAACTCAATTGAATGATCTGAGAAACTATAATGGTATAGTTTCGTTCCAAGCTTATGATTCCTATGTATGGTACATTGATTTATTTTACTTCTGAAAGGTTTATTTTTCCTTTGTATTTGTATTTATTTTGTTGCCAAACTTGAATGCCATCCTTTCCACTTTTTCAAGTAATTCCTAATTATTAGATGCTTTGGTGTACTTATTTTTTTCCCTTTCTTGTAAGGACTGCCAGTGATAAAAAACAAAACAAAATTCCAAATGAACTTATTTTAATTACTGTATGAGATGGAATTCCCCTAGGCATTGTATGTAATTATGTTGAATCATATAAATGAGTCATATAGTCATGTAATACTTGATTTTGTAATTTGTACACAATAAGGTTATAAAATCCTACATGACCTGAGTATGTGTAGTATCCACATTCCTGGTTTCCTTTGTATAGATTTATTATTCTTAGTAAAAGAGTAGTAATTTTTTGTGTTGGTATACCATTTCCCCAAATGTCTATTTCACACTAGATTAAAAAAATAATTGGAGGGTAATTGGCATATGGCAGTTGGTATATTTCATATTTGTGTTCATTTGATCCAGAATGTTGTTTTAACTTTTTTTTAAAAATTCATAACACTAAGTATATTTGAATGTCAAACTCAAAAACTTGTGATTCTTAGGTGTAGGTGGTTACAAAATGTTATAGTTAGAGAAACTTTGCTGACTTCATTTATTTCCTTCAGTTAGCACTGTTTAAAATAAAATGTAAAGCACACAATGATGCACAACAATTGCAGCATGGATTTTTTTTTATACCTATTACTTTGCAATGGTTCTTTTGAGGATGTAATGGATGAACACAACTCAGCATCTCCACCTCAGTGATTTTTAGTGCTAGAGTCTTCAATTGATTTTGTAACTATTGCCTCTAACTTTGAAAACTGAGCGGTGGGATTGAATATCTTGAGGCCTCTGGAGTATCCATAAAGAGGCTAATAATGTTAATTCTAATAACCACTTAATCATTTCCAGTCTCTTGTGTTCTGTAAGTTTATGGCATATAGTATTGGTGTTGTTTGTTATCTAGTTTGTAATTGTTTTTGTTGTTGTTACAAAATATTCATTTGGAGGCATGACTTGATTTATTGAAGGATAAATTCTCATATCGAAACCAAATTTCAAAACTGCCACAAGTGTTGTTTTAAATAATATGCTGCATCCTAATAGCTAGAGCTTTGTTAGCACTTTAGATATCATTGATAAAATGCTCTATTACATGTGAAATGCTTAATAAATTCTCTATCTCAGCAGTGTAGGTTGTAGTGTTTATTATGATACCTGTGGTTTGTTTGTAGCTTGTTTTATTGTATCATATATATATATGTATATATATATGTATATATATATATGTATGTATATGTATATATATAAGTATATATGTATGTGTATATATATATGTATGTGTGTATATATATGTGTGTGTGTGTGTGTGTGTGTGTGTGTATGTATATGTGTGTGTGTAGGTAGGACTATAGGAATTTGGAGGTGGAGAGCAACTTAGAGATGTATCAGAAAGACTATTTGATATTAATTTTACAAATCAGAAAACTGAAACCCAGCAGGAAGTGACTTGCCCAAGGTTATATTCAGCTAGTTAGTTGTAGAGTTAGCATGTAAAACCTAAGTCTTCAGATGTTAAGTTCTCTATTCCTGTTACTGTCCCAGGGTGGCACCCCCAGTCTTTTTGTCCCTCATTCTGGACAGGAGTGCCTACCCTTACTTCTACTTAGAGGTAGATGCCTCCCCATAAGGACCTTTGAAACTCTTGAGTTTGACAAGAGTGTCTGCCCTGCACTAACCTTTTCAAACTAGGGAAGAAGGAAGTATTTTTTGACCTCCCTAAGGAAGATAACTGTTGTAGATGTGAGGAAGCTAGGATGAAAAAAAGTGAGAAGTTCTCTTCTATACACTATTCCTTATTCTAGAAGAGTATTCTGACAAGACCCCTCTGATCCTCAAAAGTGCCATAATGATGGGGAAACTTTTTTTTGCTTTAAATAGTATTTTATTTCTCCCCCAATTGCATATCAAGAAAATTTTTAGCATTCATTTTTACAAGATTTTGAGTTCCAAATTTTTCTCCCTCTCTCCCCTCCCCTCTTCTGAAAATGATAGACAATTTGATATAGATTATACATTTGCTATCATGTAAAACATATTTCCATATTCATCACAGCTGTGGAAGAAGAAACAGGTCACAAGGGGGAAAAAAAAACCATGAGAAAGAATAAAGTGAAAAAAAATGCTCTCTTATGCATTCAGAGTCCATTGGTTCTTTAGCTGGATATGGATAGCATTTTCCTTTGTAAGTCCTTTGTACTTGTCTTGGATCATTGTGTGCTGAGAAGAGCCAAGTCCTTCATAGTTGATCATCCCATGATATTGCTGATACAGTGTACAATGTTTTCCTGGTACTGCTCATTTCATTTTGCATCAGTTTGTACAAGTCTTTCCAGGTTTTTCTGAAATCTACTTGTTCATCATTTTTTATTGCAAAGTAGTATTTCATTACATTCATATACCACAGCTTGTTCAGCCATTCCCCAATTGGTGGGAACCCTGCCAGTTTCCAATATTTTGCCACCACAAATAGGGCTGCTATAAATATTTTTGCATATGTAGGTCCTTTTCTCTTTTGTATGATCTCTTTGGGATACAGACTTAGCAGTGGTATTGCTGGATCAAAGTGTATGCATAGTTTGGTTGACCTTTGGGCATAGCTCCAAATTGCTCTCCAGAATGGTTAGATCAGTTCACAACTCCACCAAGAGTGCATCAGTGTCCCAATTTTCCCACATCCTCCCCAACATTTATAATTTTTTCTTTTTTGTCATATTAGCCAATCTTATTGGTATGAGGTAGTACCTCAGAGTTGTTTTAATTTGCATTTCTCTCACCAAAAGTGATTTAGAGCACTTCTTCATATGCTGTAGGTAACTCTGATTTCTTCATCTGAAAACTGCCCGTTTATATCCTCTGGCCATTTATCAATTGGGGAATGGCTTGTGTTCTCATAAATTTGACTCCGTTCTCTATATGTTTGAGAAATGAGGCCCTTATCAGAGACATTTGCTGTAAAGATTGTTTCCCAGCTTTCTGCTTCCCTTCTAATCTTGGTTGCATTTGTTTTGTTTGTACAAAAGCTTTTCATTTTAATATAATCAAAATTATCTTTCTATCTCTTGTTTCATCATGAATTCTTCCCCTCCTCACAGATCTGACTTTTTAAAAACTTTATAAAGTATTTGATGTAATAATAGCTTTTGATACTAGAGATTTAATAATGAAATGAAATTAGCAGAAAATAATAGAAATTAAGGCACAGAGGTAAGAAATAGTTACTAGTTATAGCATCCAGAATGGAAATTAAGCTCTTCATCACTTCATGTTCGTTGTCTTTAGTGTCAAAAGATAGGAGGTACCTCTAAAGAAAGAATTCAGATATGAGAGTCTAGAAATAGTTTAGGGGTGATCCTGAAAATATCCCCTAAAAGGGAATTTACTAATTGAAAGTTTCTGAGTAGAAAAAGGACTGGATCTGCAAGATGACAACCAAAAAATTAATATATAAAGATTACCTGTCATAAGTCTGATATGCTGCTAATTGTAGTGTCAGTCCTAGCAACTTGAGGAAACTTTAGATATGCACAAAATCTTATTTAATTGGGGATCCACTGTAGTTATGTCTTCTTATAGTACTTGAAAAAAGTTATAAAAGTGTAGCCCTGTAAGAATAGTCTTCCAATGTTTAGGCATGAGTACAATTGTAGAATATTTAATTTTTCCTATAAACCTTCATGTTATTGGGGGGTTTTTTCTTAATGGAGGCTACTTTTTAGGGATATTGCCAATTTTAGACTAATGTCCTCAGTTGCTGTATTGTCTTAGTGAATATACAAATGAACTACTCATTCCTTCCTTGGTTATCAAAAAGTGTTTATTAAGCACTTATCTGTGTAACTGTCAGAATAGATCAGAATCATATATGTTCTAAACCCCAAATCCTTAAAAGCTTTAGTTCCCTATTTATACTGAAGAAACAGTAGATCTTTCTTCAATCTTTTTGTCTGTTGGCTACTAATTACTTTTAAATATTTTTGATGTCATAATTTTTAAAGCATTGTCACTTTATATGCATTTGCAAATCTTTCTGTAGCATAATGCAGAGAATCTTGCACTTGGAGTCAGGAGAAACTTGTGTTAGAATCCCACCTCAGACACTTACTGTCTTACCACTGGCAAGTCACTTAACCTCCATAAACCCTGGTGTCTTTTCTTTCTAACATAAAGATAATTGGAGGGGTTCTACTGGAATGCTCCAAGAATCTGTAGTATTTGGAACCATGCTATTTAACATTTTCATCAATGATTTGGATAAAAGAGGAAACATATTCCTATCAAATCTTTGGATGACATAAAGCTAGGAGGGATAGCTTTGTTTTTTCAGTTTCAATTGTGTCTGACTCCTTGTGACCCCATTTGAGTTTTCTTAGCAAAGAAACTGGATTTGCCATTTCCTTCTCTAGCTCATTTTATAGATGAGAAAACTGAGGTAAACAGGGTGGTAACTTATCGGCTCACACAGCTAGTAGTATCTGAGACCATATTTGAACTTATGAAAATGAGTCTTCCTGATTCCAGGTCCAGCATTCTATCCACCGTGCCACCTCGCTGCCCCAGGAGGGATAGCTCATCTATTGTGTAATATGTTGCAAACAGATCTCAGCAAGTTTGAGTATTTGTCCAAATTAAGTAAGATGAAATTTAACAGGAATGTGTGTGTGTGTGTGTGTGTGTGTGTGTGTGTGTGTATACAGAGAGAGAGAGAGAGAGAGAGAGAAGTGTAAGATGGAGCCAATATGTCTGAACAGCTTTTACTAGAAAACTTCTAGGGGACTTAATTCCTTGGTATCTTCAACTCCTGTGATTTTCACTTCAGCCAAACTCAAGAAAAATTGCATCCTTGATCTCACTGTCTACCACCCAACCAGTTTAATGATCAAGTATTCTAAAATTCCTTTATCTGACCATATTGATGCCCCTCTGGGGGCAGAGGACTTTGGTTCAAATTCTTCCTTTAAATGCTTTCTACCTGTGTACCCTTGGACAGAAGTGGACCTTTGGACCTGTTACAGATCTATTAAATGAGGGCCTAACACAAGATAGCCTCTGAGGTCCTTTCTTAGGTGTGTTTCTGTCCTCTACTCTTGAATTTGTCCCCTTATTGTTGCTCACTGTTTTGCCTAACCTTAGATCACTCACACTATCTGATTGACTTCTATTTATGTGCTGCTGAATGGTGCTAAAAAAAAATACACAACAAAGTTGACTAAACATACTACAAATTTATGCTATCTATCCTTAATTAGGCTATCAATGTAATAAGGCAATCCTTTTTACTGACTCTTTACGATTTCATTATTTATTTATTTTTAACATTCTCTTTAAATTTTGAGCCCAGATTCTCTCCCACCCCTCCTCCCACACTGAGAAGACAAGCAATATGATATCAATTAAATTAAAATAAATAAGATTTCCACTTTAGCCATATTGCAAAAAAAGAAAAAGAAAATGAAATTCAATTATCAATTTGCACTCAGAGTTCATTGGTTCTTTTTCTGGAGGTGGATAACAATTTTTCATCATGAGTCCTTTGGAATTGTCTTGGATCTTTGTATTGATCAGAGTAGTCAAGTCTTTCATAGTTGATCATCATTACAACATTGCTGTTAACTATGCACAGTGAAATCCTGGTTCTTCTCATGTCACTTTGCATCAGTTGATATAGGTCATTTTTTTTTCTGATATCACCCCCTTCGTTGTTTCTTATAGCACAATAGTATTCCATTACAATCATAGGCCACAACTTGTCCAGCCATTCCCCAGTTGATGAGCATCCCCTCAGAATCCAATTCTTTGTCACCACAAAAAGAGCTGCTATAATTAAATATTTTTATACCTATAGGTCTTTTTCCTTTTTCTTTGATCTTTTTTGGGGGTACAGACCTAGTTTTGGTATTGCTGGATCAAAGGGTATGCACAGTTTATGCCTTTGGGCATAGTTCCAGATTGTTCTCTGGAATGGTTACATCAGTTCACTATTCCACCCGCAGTTCATTAATGTATGTATTTTCCCTCATCCCCTCCAGCATCTGTCATTTCTGATAGGTATGATGTGGTATCTCAGAATTATTTTAATTCGCCTTTCTCTAATCAATAGATTTAGAGCATTTTCTTTTCATATGGCTATAATTTTGATTTCTTCCTTCTGAAAAATGCCTGTTCATACATATCCTTTGGCCATTTATCAATTGGGGAATAGCCCTTTTATAAATTTGACTCAATTCCCCAAAAATTTGAGAAATGAGGCCTTTATCAGAGAAACTTGCTATAATTTTTTTTTACTTCATTTTCTATGGTGCCTTTTAGCACAATGTAGTTTCCCTGCTTTTATGTCTTTCATTTAGGTCTGTTTCTGCTTTTGCTTTGTCTGAGATCATGATTGTCATTCCTGTTCCCTTCACTTCAGCTGAAGCATAATGGACTCTACTCCACCCCTTCATTTCAACTCTGTGTCTTTTTGTCTCAAGTGTGTCTCTTGTACACTATGTATTATGGATTCTGATTTCTAATCTCTTTTGCTCTCTGCTTTCATTTTATAGGTTAGCTTATTCCATTTACATTCACAGTTATGATCACTATGCTTTTTTTCTCCATCCCATTTTCCCATTTCTTCTCTTTTTATCCTGTTCCTTCTCAAAAGTTTGTTTTGCTTCTAACCATTGCCTCCCCAAATCTACCCTCCCCTTAATCTCCCCCCCCATGTCTTATTCCCTTACTGTCTTTTAACCTATTGGGTAAGATAAATTTCTATATGCAACTGAGTGTGTGTGTATCTTCCCTCTTTGAACCAATTCTGATGAGAATAAAGTTCAAACATAGCTCACCACCCCTTTCATCATTTCCCTCTCCACAATAAACGTTCTTGTGTGACCCTTTATGTAAGTAAATTTGCCCCCATTTACCTGTCCCTTCCCTCTTCACCCAGTGCATCCCTCTTTCTCACCCTTTCATTTCTTGTTTTTGAGATCATCCCAATATAATCAACTCCCACCCTTGCCCTCTTGCTATGCAGATTTTTTCTAACTGCCCTAATAATGATATAGTTCCCATATAGGAATGTAAACAGTTTAACTCCATTGAGTCCCTCATGATTACTCTTTCATGTTTACCTTTTTATGCTTCCCTTGAATCTTCTACTCCAGTCAAATTTTCTATTCAGCTTTGGCCTTTCCATTAGAAATGCTTGGAAGTCCTCTGTTTCATTAAATATCCATCCCCAAAAAGGATTATATTTAAGTTTTGATGGGTAGATTATTCTTGGTTGTAATCCTACTTCCTTTGCCCTCTAGAATACCATATTCCAAGCCCTCTGCTCCTTTAATGTTGAATCCACTAAATCCTCATATGATCCTGACTGTTGCTCCACAATATTTGAATTGTTTCTTTCTGGCTACTTGCAATATTTTCTCATTGACCTGGACCTCTGGAATTTGGTTATTATAATCCTGGTTGTTTTCACTTGAGCATCTCTTTCAGGAGGTGATTAGTGGATTCTTTCAATTTCTACTTTACCCCTTGGTTCTAAGCTATTGGGACAGTTTTCCTTTATAATATCTTGAAGTATGTCTAGGCTCTCTTTTTGATCATGGCTTTCAGGTAATCTGATAATTCTTAAATTATCTCTTGTTGATCTATTTTCCAGGTCATTTTTTTCCCCAATGAGATATTTCATTTTCATCTATTTTTTCAGTCTTTTGACTTTATTGTTTCTTTGTGTCTCATGAAGTCATTAGCATCTATTTGCCCCATTCTAATTTCTAAGGAGTTTGGGGTTTTTTTTTTTGTGAAGCATTTGGGGTTAAGTGACTTGCCCAGACTCACCCAGCTAGTGTGTGTTATGGTGTTTGTGTCTGAGGCCAGATCTGAACTCAGGTCCTCCTGACTCCAGGGTTGGTGTTCTATCTACTGTGCCACCTAGTGCCCCAAGGAGTTATTTTCTTGGAGAATTCTTTTCTTCTATGAATTTTTGTACCTCCTTTTTCATTTGGCCTATTCTGTTTTCAAAGGAGTTCTTTTCTTCAGAGAAGGGAAGGAGGAAGGAAGGGGCTGCTTTGCCCAACTGGAACCAGTCATTTGGGTTCCCAGTGGGCAGCTCAGACTACATACAGGCTGTTGTTTGTCTTTCTCAGAGGACCATGACATCAGGAAGGTGATGCCATGACTTGCAAGTGAATTGGATTTAAGTGAGGGAGGGCTGTGCAATCACTTTCTCCTCTGAAAGCCTCACTTTCTGCCCTGAGTCATCTAGGTTCAGTGGCAAGATGCAGATCAGCATGACTGGAGATGGCTCCCAGCTTCCTTCAAGACTCAGCTCAAATACCACCCTCTGCTGGAGACCTTTCATTTCCTCTCCTACAGTCCTTTCCTCAGAAACCTTCCATTTATCTTGTGTGTAGTTATTTGCATGTTTTCTTCCTCATTATAATGTTAGCTCCTAGAAATTTGAGGCTGTGTTTTTGCCTTGCTTTGTATTGTTAGGGTTTAGCACAATGCTGGTACATATTAAATTTGATAAAAGCTTGACTGACCTCAAAGCTGTGAGCACTAAATACATACACAGAGAAGAATGTATTTTATCAAGCCTGTTTTAAAGATGTTTTCAAAAAAATGGGCCACATGCTTGTCTTAACAAAAGACAGGCTGAAGTTAATTTAGAGAGGGGGGTAGAAAGGGGAGGGGGAAAGTAAAGTATAATGTCAAATTTATTCTCATTTATTTATTCTCATCAGATTTGGTTCAAAGAGGGAAGACACCCACACACTCACACACTCAGTTGTGTATAGAAATTTATCTTACCCAAATTGGGAGGTTATGTTATCCTGGTAAAGGCCTTTATTGAAACAAGCAGAATGAGGTTGTAGATTTCTAAATACAGGGCTGCTAAAGCAAGAAAAAAATTTATTAGAGGGAAACCAGTCTTGCTTTTTTTGTAGAAATTAGTGATGATAAGAGGCCAAAGTGACCAGATGAATCAAAAAGGAAAAAAAATCTACTTGATTTTTTCCTGGTCTGGGAGGCCTTTGGTGAGCAGATCAAGAAAGGGGGCAGACATTCTGTCAGATCTTTGCAGGAACTGGGCTCCACCAAGCAGCAGTACCAGTGGAGTAAATAAGGTAGCGCCTTAGAAATAATTTTGAGGAGTGTCATAGAAGAGACTCTTTCTTCCTCTTAGCACCAGAGCCTGCTAGAAGTAGCAGAGAAGGAAATGGAAAGTGGAGGAAGGAAGGAGTAGCACTGGTGGCAAACGCTACAAATAGGGGTCTCCAGAGCCTGAGAAAGCTGATTATGATTGCCCCCCCATTTTACAGATGAGGAAACTTAATTTTTAGTTTTCAACATTCACTTCCACAAGATTTTGAGTTCCAAATTTTCTCCCCATCTCTCCCCTGTCCCCACCCCAAGATGGTGTGCATTCTGAATACCCTTACCACTGATCTGCCCTCCCTTCGATCACGCGCCCCCACTTATTCCCCTTCCCCTTCTATTTTCCTGGAGAGCAGGATAGATTTCTATACCCCATTGCCTGTATATCTTATTTCCCAGTTGCATGTAAAAAAATTTTTAACAATTGTTTTTAAAACTTTGGATTCCAAATTCTCTCCCTTCCTCCCTCCCCATCCAACTCTTATTGAGATGGCAAGCAACTCGATACAGGTTATACTTGTGTGGCCATGCAAAACACTTCCATAATAGCCATGTTGTGAAAAACTAACGATATTTCCCTTCATTCTATCCCCCCACCCACTTTATTCCATTCGATGAGAAAACTTATGAAGAAACTAATGTGCTCGTGGCCACAGAGCCGATGTGTGTCTGGGCCCCAAACCCGGTTCGGTGGCAGTGAGGGTAAGGGGCCCAGAGAAGCGGAGCCTACGGAGAGGAATACCCCCGGCTTTCCAGGAGAAGTTGTACAATTCCTACTGAGCCATTCTAGGGGTTGCTATCAGTGACAAGAAGGGGACTCAAGGGAGGCAACGCAGGATGGTTACTTCGCTTTGCGTCTGCTGGGGAAACTGAGGGATTTCTCCTGTGGACAATAGGGTCCTCGCCCGTAGTATCGAATCCCGACAAGGTGCCTATGAAGAAACAATTCGCATAATCCCGTAGTGGCAAAATTGCTGGATCCATTATGTGCCTAGGACTTCACTGTTCCGTGCCTCACTTTCCTCATCTGTAAAATGAGGCTGTTGGCTTGAACACTTTTTCAGTCGCCTCCAGCCGGGGCATTCTATGATCTTTATAAAGACTCGTCTTCATCAAACACCGTTTGCTGGCTCTGAGCTCTTTTCGCTTCCCAAAGAATCTTCCACCCGCTCGGGGTCATCAGAAGCATAGATGGACCGTGCGGAAATCCCGCCCTTCCAAATCAGCTGCTCAGGAAGTCTGGCCACTAAGAGCGTAAAGAGAGCGGACGTGACGTTTACACTTCTCCCACTTCCGCGACCTCTCTAGCTTTCACACTGCAGTCCGCCTTGGTGGTGCGAGGTGGGCGGTACTAAGAACCTAGAAGTACGTCATAGTTCAGAGGTCACTTGGAACTGTCATGGCAGCGCTGTGCTGGAGCCGTGTGGTGGCCGCCCAAGGCCGTTTCTCGCGACTTCATCTCTCAGTCCGTGGATGTCACAGTGTCGGTGCCAGCACGGAGAGTGAGAGCGGGAGTCCTTCCCCAAAGGAGCCGGAAAAACGGTTGGGAGGCTTCGCTAGCGCTTTTGAACGCCACTCGAAGCTGCAGGAGGAGGCTGAGCCCCAGCAGGTGAGCGGCAGCCGTCTGGCCAATCCCTAGAGCGGCGGCTCGGTGACGCATGCGAGTTGTGCGCGGGGCGGAGCCTCAGGTAGGGGGTGGAGCGGAGAGGTCTTGGAGGCGGAGTTAAAGTTTCCTGAATCCCACGTGCTCGGGTTTGTAGGCAGTGTTTGTGCTCATGTGGAGAGGCAGGGCAAATGTTCGGTTTCGGAAGGAAGGGGGAGCTCCAATGCCAGCAAACAGACGAAAACTTCTGTACCAAGGCAGTTCCTCTTTTCTTGGCAGGTAGTTGACACACACAGTGACTAGAGTGCTGGACTTTGAGTTGCAGTCAGGAAGACCTGAGTTAGAATTTTGCCTCAGACACTTGCCCGCCCTCTTACCCATGGCAAGTCGCTTAATCTCTCTCCCAGCCTCGGTTTTCTCAGCTGTTAAAGGGGAAATAATAGCATCTCCTTCATAAGGCTGTTGTGGGCAGCAGATGTGAAAACATTACGTGCAGCGCATTGCAAACCTTTATAAGCGCTTTGTAACTGCAAGCTCTTATTATTGTAATCTTTCCTTCCTCCACAAATTCCAGACTAAAAATACGATATGAGCCGCATTCAGGCTCCTGGAAACATACTCTTCACATCCCTAAAATGGTTTTAAAAACCTTATTGCAGAATCAAAGAAAATAGGGATTCCTGCAGTTTTAATCACAGTGAGACATGGTGGCTAGAATGCTGGCCATGAAGTCAGGAAAACTGAGCATAATCCTGCTAGATAAAGGATTCTAGGGCAAGTTGTTTAATCAATTTTAGCCTCAGTTTCCCTTATCAGAAAAATGTTAATAATAATCCTAGGTGTTCTTGTGAGGATCAAATGAGATGGGTAATGTGCTGGACAAACTAATTTATCTTTATAAAAGTTGAGAGACCTAGTCCATAAGAGATTAATCTTTGAGGACCCAGGATTCCTAATTCTAATTTTATGACTTGTTCATTTGTTACTTTTTTTTTAGTACCTTGTGATTGATAGGAGAGAGGATGATTGTTTTTAGATGACTTTGCAGACTAAACATACACATTGGATTTGCTAGGTCCATAGCTGCTTTCTGTGGACGATACTTTGGAAAACTATGTTTTATTAAATGTAGAGAAGGCCAAATGTGACTATATATGCTTTCCACTTGTACCGTTGAGGGGAGGAGAGGGAAGGAAAAAGGATTATGTTCCTGAATTAATTGGGAGAACATTGAATCAGGAGTTTTGGTAACCATAGTTTTTTTGTTTTGGTTAGGCAGTGGGGTTAAGTGACTTACTCAGGGTCACACAGCTAGTGTTATGTGTCTGAAACCAGATTTGAACTCAGGTCCTCCTGACTCCAGGGGTTGGTGCCCTATCCACTGCACCACCTAGCTGCCCCTTAGGTGACCATAGTTTTTGTCTGGCTCTGTCACTAACTGGCTTTGTGAACCTAGGAAAAGCATTTTCTCTGTTCAGGACCTTAATTTCCAGTAAATTGAGGTTTTGGAGTAGTTGATTCTCTATTTTCCTTCCAGATTTACATTTGTATTTCAGAAATGGCCATGCTTGGGGCACCTAGGTGGCACAGTGGATAGAGCACCAGCCTTGAAGTCAGGAGGACCTGAGTTCAGATGTGGCCTCATACCAGACATTTGACACTTACTAGCTGTGTGACCCTGGGAAGTCACTTAACTCCAATTGCCTAAAAAGAAAAGAAATGGCCATGCTCTTGTACTGCAGGCCTGACATGGAAGAAAGGTGGATTAATGTCCAGTGTATGGCTTTTCTTTCTTTGCTCCCTCCTTCTTGTTTGGTTAGATTTCAGGTAAGAGTGAAGACTTTCAGGGCAGCTACAGCTTCTGCTTTTCTAGCAGTTTCTAGCCCAAGTAAGAATTTTGTGGGGATACAGTAATTATTTTTGACATTTCTAAGTGACATCTATGAACCCTTCCAGCTTTAAATCTGTGGTTTATAAGGCGTTGTATAGTTTATAAAGCACATTTATAATGTGCTTTATAATGCACATGCATTAATTATTGTATTTGATTGCTTAGCCAATAATTGATCTTTGAAAAAGCAGGATGAAGAGAAAAATTATTTTAGGAATGGAGACAGACAAATATGGCTTGATTTTCTTTTTTTTTTTAAAACATGTAAGTTTTTTTAAAGAAAGTCATGACTTTTGTTTTTATGCCACAATCATTCCATTTTTTCCCCCTACCAAAAAAAAAACCCAAACCATTGAACTTTGTCTTCTATTTTCCTCTTGTCTACACTGTTTATTGTTAAAGGGGAGCTGTGGGGGACAAGGGAGTCACAAGGAGGTAACCTCTCCTCCACTATAATGTAGTCAGAGCCCCCAAAATACCTTGTTCCATGGGCAATCCCACCCACCCATCATGCCACCTCTTAACAACCCTGAATTGGCCCCAACCCTTATCTGGCCCTATTAGAGGTAGTCTAACCAAGCGGCCCAGGGCCCTCCGTGCACCTGCTTGTGGCTCCAGCCTTGTTCCCTGGGCTTTACTGATGCTCATCACCTCCCGCTTCTTCTCTGTCCTTTGGACATCCCCATTGCAATCTTAGGGCCTTTGCTGACCCTGAACACCCAAAAAGCTGTCACTCATATACCCATTCCTATTAGGGGTATAAGAATTGAATCAGCATTTGCAACTCCAAATCCACAGGGTCCACCAGATACCCTTATTATAGTACTTCCTCAGGTAGGAAAGAAGAATCTGAGCTGGGATGCATTAACCCTTCCTCCCATTCCTGGATTAAGGAATAGCATGCATTCTCCAAGTTTTCCTCCAAAAGAGGCAATCCAGGAGTGAGAAGTCAGGGCTCTGGGTACCTAAGAGACATTAGGATCTTTTTTCCAGGGTCTGAGGGGACAGGTCATAGTTTAGAAGTCAAGGTTAGGGTGGCAACAAAAGGTCAAAGTCATTTTCCTGAAGAGTCTTATTTTTCTCTTTTGTTCTCTCTTTAGCCTGTTGCTCTTATATACCCCTCTAGGTAAGAACTGGGGCTTTAGGTAATAGGGAGGTAAGGACCAGGCCCTAGGTTCTTAAGGTTAGGGGCACAATGATATCTTGATACTATTGCACCAGCTGAGTGACCAGACCACTCTTCCTGACTGAAGAGGTGTCCATGGATTATCTCAGGGTTAGAGGAAGTGAAGCCAGTCCATTTGTGGGCATCTCAGTCCATCCAGCTCTTAGCATGGGGATCAGTGTTGATGAAAACAAAGCCTTCCACTCTGTCTGGGTGTGAAAGCATATCAAGACAGGATAAAGGGTCCAGCTCCAATCCGAACTACAGTTATGGTGGAAGAGTATAAGTATTGTAGGATACAAAGGATTGTATCTGTAAACTGGTCCACAGATGGATGCTGGTTGCCTAAAGGGAATACAGGTGCCTCTTCCTCCAAGGGCCAGAGGCATCCACATGAACTCAAACAAAGTTCTTAATAATTTCTTGTATGTCTTTGAACTGAAACAGTGCCTGGAAGTGAATCTTAGAGTTGAACCCTACCTTATAGTAGATGAAGATTACTGGGTACGTGGGTTGGGGAATGCCTGAGATGGTGAAAGTGACCGAGCCATAGTAGGGCTCCACAGAATGCGTCTTGGCAGCTTCAGGAGTCTGTCCTGGTAACTGTGGCTTCTTCTTAGTGATCTGCACCTCCTGTAACTAACTCAGCTAGGGTGGCTGGATTCTTATTGGTTGGATACAGTGGGGTTAAGGGTGAGTGTTCTCACTCCTCTCAGTCCAAGTTTCTGTCTCTTGCTTCCATCCTTGCAGCTTTCCGTTTATGACAGCTCTGCTGTTATTTCCCTCAAAAAATAATAGTTAAGTAAAACAGTAAAAACAGAAGGACCATATCTGTCAGTATATGAAGCATTTAGCATCCTAGTTCTTTCCCTCCTTTGAGAAGGGAAGTATGTTTCATCATTTGTAAGTAGTATTAATCATTACATTTAATCTAAGTTCAGCTACCTTTTTAGTTTCTTTATAGTTGGTATGTGTTAATGTCCTAGTTCTTTTTTCACTGTATCTGTTCTTATAAAACTTACCATGTTTCCTGAATTCCTTATATTTTATGCATAGGGAGTTCTTAATAAATGCTGTTTTATTCATTCATTTATTGTGACACAACAGTGCTCACTTATATTCACCCACTACAATTTGTTCATTCATTCCCAATTGTTTCCAAAAAATTGCTGCTAGGAATATTTTCTCATATATATATATATATATATATATATATAAATGTTTTCATATAGATACAATATTTTCATATATATAGAATATTTTCACACACACACACACACACACACACACACACACACACACACATACATGTGTGACCTCCTCAGGAGACATGTCCAGTAGTAGGATATTGTGGTAAATGGTATGAATAGTTCAATAACTCTTTTCTTCACAATTTCTTAATATTTTCCAGAATGTTAGGATCAATTCACAGTGCAACCAGTGGTTTATTATTATGCACCATGTTCCAACACTGGCTTTTCCCATTTTTTATCATCTTTTTTCATTTTGTTATGTGTGAGGGAGAACTACATATCTGTTTTATTTGCATTTTTCATATTGTTGATTTGAAACTTTTTTTTTCTAAATAGTTGCTGATGGGAAGGAAGTCTTTCCTGATCCTCTTAGTTGTTTGTGGTATTTCTCACCTCTTCTTCCAGTTATTATATATACAAATACAAGAATTAATTACCTGGTGGCCAACATGTTAGTGATGAACCTCTTCATTCTTAAGCAGGTTACTCAGAAAGCAATCGTATTCTGTTGCCAGAACTATTCCTAGAGCTGTCTCCATCAAGGTCAGAGGAGAGGTGGTGGATAAGGTGGTTGTGGTGGTTTGACTTGGCAAGCACATGCTGGCTCTTGTCTCTCCCTCAAGGGAGCCTTTTTGCTTTAGCTTAATAGTAATGGGCACTTAATAAATTCTAGTTGACTGGTTGACTGTCATATTTG